AAAAAGTTTTGACCAAATATGGTCTCTTGGTTAAAGTCTTTAGCGTTTTCTGGACTAAAATCTAAAATAGCATAAAATCTCATAAATGTAGCCAATTTTAATTAAATATTTATTTTACCAATTGAACTCATTTGTTTCTTAACAATTAGGGCCAATTCTTTACACGCAGAAGATTGTGCCTTTTCACTTAACATTTGTCCAAGAACACTACGTAATATAAAGCTAATACACTTTCTAGAATAAATAGCATCAATACGAGAAGATGCTGATTTTGGATTTGAAACTAAATCTAAAATATGTCGCATGAAAGTATTTAAATTTTTTTCCAGCCAAGTAACATCCAACGAATGAACAAATTCCACATAAGTCTAAATATAAAAAAAAAGTATAATACTTATAATCTATTTAAATTTATTAACACAAAAACTTACATAAGTAACACCAACTCTAACTTCTCGATGACTACCTGTAGTTCCTTTTATAATTTCTCCTGTTCCTTTAAGAAATCCAGTTCCACCTCTTAAAAAACCATTCATTAATATGGTTAATGAATCTTCTAATGTAATACATTTTGTTGACTTTGACATTTGAACTAAGAACAATATTTTTATTACTTATTTTTTTTTTTTTTAATTTGAGGAGAAAATATTTTCTCATAGTTTTATACCTGAATGAGGTTCTTTGTTTTGGATTTGTGTAGATGCAATTAGAAAGCCTAAAAATTTTGCTACAGAACATCTTACTTCATAGTTTGCATTCTCAAATGCTCGGAAACATAATGTAGCTACATTTTCTAAATCTGAAGTGTATAAAAAACTGGAATGTTTTATCATTTCAAATAAACACTAAACAGAAGAAACAATGATAATTTATTACAAAAATAAAATAAAAATGTGTGTTACTTTGGCAGTAGCAGTTCGAACAGCCATTACTCGATCGGTTAGAGAATGTTTAATAGCCTTGTAAATATCTTTATGCATATGACCCATAACATTTCCCATTCCACAGCAAATCTAATTATAAATAGAAAACACATGAATAATTTTAATTAATTTAACTAATTTTTGTAAAATCAATTACCTTTTCTAATGTTATAATTATCTCTACTCTGATTTGAGATTCTGCATTCTTAAGACATTTTATTAAAATAGTCACAGTTTCTTCATAAGATCGTCCCATCATTCGCCCCAAATTTTTATACATAAATCCCATACAAGTAACTGCAGCTCTAAAAAAGTTATTTTTCAGTAATCAAACCAATACAGTAAAATGTTAAGTGTATAATATTCATCTCAAATGCATGCAGAAAATTTAAATAACATGCAAACATTTCTAAATATAATTTATTAAATAAGTCAACCTAGGATATTTTATATTATATTTGTATTGCTATTAGTCATGATATTATAATAAACTAGATATGATCCACACATTTGTGATACGCATCCTCCTTACCCGCGGACCATCACTCTGACAAAAAAAATGGAGCTAGTCTTTCACAGTTTTTCAATTTTTCATTTTGATAATATTATGTAAACCAATGAAAAATGGTGATAGACTGTAGCCACCTTTGAGCAACATAATACAAAAATTGGTTCATTGCCATCATACCTAGTTTATTATATCACGCTATTAGTGATTTATTTTACTATTATGGTAATATGGTAGGTTGATTTATATTATGGGGATAATATTATAATTTAATGTTTTGGTTTTAGGGTGAAACACTTATGAGGAACATTTTATTACATTTTTCAAGCCTTAGCTATAAAAATTGAACGTTTTATAAACCTTAACTACAAAATTATTTGTAAAATTTTCATGATTTTGGTAAATTTTGTAAATATTTGAAACTTCAATGCTAACAAATTTTCATTTAATAAAATTATAGTTTATTATACTAATTATAATGTCAAATAAATAGATATTTCAGCAACAATACCAAGTTTTAATCTAGCTAGTAGCTGGCACATCCCACCGTCCCCAATTATAGTCGTGGTTCGCCTCATTTCATTGGCTGTTAAATTATCCACCAAAAAACTATCTCACATTATTATAATATTATATTATATAAACATTATCAAATACTATACCACGCATATAGATGGAATGTGGAGTGGTTGGCGAACATGATGCGTATCACAAAGTGACTAACATACCTATTTTCTTTGTCATGCTAATTTGTAATATTAAATATGAGCAACAAACATTTTTTTTGTAAAAAATGTTGCTTTATTGATGGAATTTAAAATTTGTACGTTCAACAATAAATAAAATAGATTAATAGAAAATTAAGTTATATTAAACATAAAAATGTTTAAAGTTGAAGTATTACAGCTGAAAGGGGAATCCTGTATATATAACTATACTAATAAATCTTATAAAACTTGAAAAAACTATCTTCTGTTGTTTCATTAAATAAATACTGAATTGCTGGGCATATATGTTTGTTGTTTTCACTATCTTAAATTCTATAATTAATAATTATTGGTAGGTACATACAACTTTGTAGAAAGATATGTTAAAGAATCATCTTTAACACGTAACAAATCATTACATTTGTTAACTGTATCAAAAAGAAGAAATGTATCGCCAACATTGAACAAAGTGGACAGGCATTTTGCAATTAACATTCTAGTCGGCGGACCTGGATTTTTTTGAATTAAGCCTGTTAATTGATCGACCATTTTTTTTTGACATTCTTTGATATCAGCCTAAAATATAATCATTAAAATCCATTAGTATCAATATTTTTATAATATTAAAAGTAATTGTATTAAAATTGTAGTTAATAAGTCTTTTAAAATGAACCCTAGATCAATGCATTAATTACTGACAAATAATATAATACTTCCCTTGTAGGTACGTACCTACAATTTATTTTAAATAAATTACCTAATTGAGTATTTTTAATTTTTAAAGTTCCATTTTTTAAAAATGCAGCAAAGCTCAACAAGAATGCTAAAACAAGTATTAGAATAATAATTGAAATAAGATTTTATAAGATAAAATACAATATAATTGTTCTCTGCTGACTAATTAAATATCCAATAGGGTACCTACTGGGGTCTTATAAATTAATAAACAAAATAGTACAATATGTTGTGATTTATTTGGCAAAAGATAAAATAAGTGATGTAGAAAAGTAATTTTTCAGATTATTGTAAAATAAGATGAAGGTTCTGCAATGGTTCGGTCGTCTGAGTCTGCGTCTGGGTATAAGAAATAGATATTTGACGAACAGTCATGAAATTTGCCAAAATCTCAAAAACCCAATTAGGTAGTATGTTGTAAAATGGCAATAAGAAATGAAGACAATTTTGTGTTTAATTAGACCTCAAAAATACTATGCCTATACCTAGGTACTTACTTTCTTAGAAGTCAATAATACTTTATCCAAAAACCGTAGCCATTCAAAGATGAAAACTGGACGTTTGGTTTCTGGTAATTGTCTTAACGCTTCTTCGTTCAACAGCAAACTATGGCTTAGCTCCATCATGAAAAGATAATATTATGAAATGTTAACTATCTAACAAGGGTTCTAGACGAACAAAATAATAGCATCATCAACCGTCACGGGCATGGAATAATATTTTATAATAAACGTTATATCGGTCAGACCTCAGACACGTCGTCACACTAGCCACTAGCCACGAGCGACAAATCCTCGGCAAGCAACTAGCCACTAGCCAGTAAGTGACTATTTATTTATATATTAATACAATATTGAGTAGCAACATATTATTATAACAAATAACAATAGACAGTAGTTGGCAAATACTGAAGTACCACACAACGACAACACAAGTACTATAACTGATAGCATTGGACTGATAGTGCTGTGAATTGTGATTAGTGTACTATGAAGCACAGAATAATGTGATAGTACTACGTTAGATGGCTCACGTACATTCAGATAAGGCGGGTAACCGAAATACTGCATTAGTGCATTCCACGGTCTTATATAAGACCGTGGTGCATTCTATTGCCTATGCATAATATTATCTTAAAATAGTTAGTAAATAATTTTGCTGAGAGGCGCCGGGGCCCCTTTCACGATGAGGCCCGCGGAAAATCCCGCCTTCAATCATATGTAGTTCCGCCACTGTTTACATGTATGTCAAATGGCTTATAAGACATTTTGTATAGGAATGAAAATAAAGCATTTACCAATTACCTATGTGAATGAGTAATATACAATTTATTGTCGATTTGACTTATTAGCTTTTTTTTACTTTTGCAGTGTTACCGGTGATTTGGGTAATAATAATTTCATATTAATATATATTTTTTTGTTTGTGATTATATAGGTATATTTTAAATTTTTAAAAATTGTTCTTATATTCAGTGTTCTTTTTTACCGATTACCCTTTAAATTAGGTACATAAATACATAATATGCATAATAGATAATTATTAAATAATTGAAAAACTTGTTCTATTTTTATTAATATAGCTATAGATGTATAATAGTACAATCTCTATAAAAATTATTGTTATTCTGTTTTTCATTCATCTTGAAATCTGAAATAAATACGTTTATTAAAACCCCTTGTACGATATGCATAGGCAACAGAGTATGCAGCATTTCGGGGACCTGCCGTATCAGAATTCAGAATTGATAAGTGATAAATGTACAATAGCCATAATGATAATATTCTAGTATCTACTGGTTTTATAATATTAATTAAAATTTAAAAGTTATAACCTGTGTTCTGTGGCCTGTGCTAAATGCTTGTACTTTCTCAGTTTGTCTGGTTTGTCGTGAAATATTGAACTATTAAGCATGACAAATAAGATCTTATTTGTCATGCTATTAAAGTCGAAGATACGAACCATTGAACTCAGCTATTAGTAACTACTATATAATCACTTATTACTGTGTTACTTGCAAAAGTGTTATGCGACTTGGTGTGTACATACCTATCAGAGATCTAGAACCGAAAAACTCGTCGATTTTAGCTAATACCTAGTAACTGTCTATCTATAAAAATTACAAATATGTGTAACCGATCTACAACTATAGATGAAATGTAAGTTTTTATTTTTTTATTAATACCATATTTAGTGTAGGTATACCTGTCTAGTGTCTATACTCTTAAAGACATTTTTAAATCTCTTTAGTTAGTACCTAGTTCAACATTACATGAACTAAAATTATTATACCTATTATCCATGCATTTATTTCTTAATCATTCATAAATAAATATAATATGTAATAATATAGTTTTCTGATGTTTTTCTTACTATGCAGTGTTAAAGATCGGATTTGTATACGACTAATTGAAACCAAGTGGGTCGATAAAGTAGAAAACTTAATTTACGTTGCACTTCAAAAACGAAATGAAAGGGGTCAAGATTTAACTACTGTTAAATTTGAAGAAATGTACCAAGATGTTTGTGAAATTGCTCGTGGTATGTGTTTATAATTATGAATTATTCAAACAGATATATTTTTGTCTAATATTCAGTAGTACAAACATATTAGTTTATTATTTGAAAATGTTTTAAATAGTTACATTTTAAACATTTTACTGGGAAATCATTGCAGTAAATTGAATAACTTTCTTATGACTATATAAAATGTTAAGTATCCCAAAACATTTAATAACTAATAATTATTTATACTTAATTAAGTATTTTTATTTAAAATGTATAAACAATTAATTTTTTTACATTTAATGCTTTCTCGTTTTTGTATTTCCCTTAATTAATGATTACCTAATGAACATTAAAAAAAAAAAACTTATTAAATACATATTTGACTTTTATTCATCGACTAAATTTTAATATATTAGTATAAGTATTTAATATTATTATATATATTATATACTCAATGATATTAGTTTACTTCCACTGTATTATTTATAAACCCATACGGCCATACTATATCTATTATGTTTAAGCTATAAATTGTGGAATACATTTTGTTTTTAATTTTATTTTTAGATGGATTACCAATGAGAATGGAAAATGAGTTGCATGAAAAAATGAATGACTTTTTATCATCAAATATTGACGGAAGTGATAACCCTTATACCATGAATTTATCGGAGTCTAATTCTCCTAGTGCAGTAAATGTTGATACTAATGATACTCCTTCTGATGGTTCCTCTGATGTGTTCAATGATATCCTTGATATAACTTTAGGTGTTTCTACTAATGAAAAAACAAAAATCCGTTAATATTCATATCACCGATTAAAATTATTGGTTCTACATTGTACAGTACATGACATGAAAAATAATTAATTTTAGAAAGTTCAATTTCTAATCAATATTTTGAATCATATTCCTAACATTTTGAAAAATTATTAAAACTAATTTCTGGTTCATCTAAAAGTAAGTAATAATATTTGAATATTTGAATTAAAATCGATTTTCTTTTATTATTCAAACAAATTAACTTTATCATAATAGACATAATAAGTACTTACCTGCAATAATTGATCTAGGTTTCTCAATATTCAATTGGTATTCATTTCATTTAACCAAATATTTTTTTACATTGATAAACTAAATAATAAGGTAACTGTCAGTGGCATAGCGTGGGTTTGAAAATGTTAAGTCAATGAAGTAGTGGTGGTCTCCATCCCCTACTCCTCACCATTTGGTTTTTATTCATATAATTTTAAACATAAACAAGTTTTTACTTAATTTTAAATCATAATAATTATTGGTAGATAACTAACATTACATTTATACACATAATAATTTATAGACCACAATCATGGTCTAGGAGCTTTTTCTTATTGATATTATCGATAAAAAATATAAATAGTTGTCACTGTAAGTATGTAATTTCTAACCCCATATTGCCTACATAATAAACACAATACCTAGGTAATAGAAAGTAGGTATCGTTATACTATATTACTATGGCGTAGTGGAGACTACTAGATAATCCATTAAATATTATATTATAAAATACTATGTTTTACGGAGTGCCACCATTGGGTGACTTTCCCCTCACCCTAATCAACCCACATCCCATTTACTCATTGTACTACATGTAATTAAAATTTTTATTCAATAAAAAAAATAATACATTTTTCAACGCTATGCCACTGTATTTTGTTGTTATATTGCTTAGTGATTACTAATGCATTATGTATTAATGTATACTATTTAAAAATTAAAAAATTTTGAATTGTATAATTATTTGACTAAAAAATGAATAAGTTGTATGAACTATCTACCTAAGTTTACCTTGAAATTTGGAATAGAATTTATGTTTTACAAAAATTTATTTGTAATTTGTTTCCTTATGAAAATTGTCTATCACTGTAATTGTGTTAAAAATACTCATCATATTTTAAACTATATAACATCAAATTTTTCTAAACCAGTAGAATCTCTTGAACTTATTATTAAATAATATTTGATATAACTTATTATTAATGGTATATAATATGGTATTAAGTTCATAAGTTGATAGTCATAGACCTACTCAGTAAACTGAACATTTTCCAGAGGCAAGTTACAAATATCCCAAGTATTAATGCGTAATAAAAATAATGTATTAATATACCTAATATAACTATGTAATTAGTAATTATATTTCAGTTCATTATATTGACTACCTATTGAGAATATCATATTACATTTACTAGAGGACCCACTGGCTACCACACACAACACACCCCTCTATTTAAGAAAAATATCAGCTACAATTGTGTCTGAAGACTGAAATTACCACTCACTAGTCCACTGGATATACCTACGCATTATCGATCATAAGCTGAGTGGATAATTTGTATTAATACTGTAGTCGGAGCGTAAGTACCTATACTGTAAAGAAAGTGGAGTGATATGAATGAGTGTGGATGGCTAAAAAGAATTTAAGGTTTAAAGGTGTGGCGTATAAAAAATATTATCCCTCTTAAAAACTTGATACCCATAGGCTATAATACTATATAACATACCTATTACAAATACAGTGAAACCTCTAAATAACGGACACTCCGCTAGTCCGCTATTCACAGTGTTCATATTATAAAAAATTTGTTGTTAGTTCCTAAGAAAACGTCCGTTATCGGTCGTTGTCTGTTAGGTGAGGTTTGATTCAGGGCGTTATTTCAGTTTGTATTAGACTAAGGCAACTTTTCACTGCTTTTCCGACTCAACAATAAATGTTAAAAAAATTTAAACATTTTTTTCATTTAGATTCTCATAGCATAGTAGCATACCGTAAGAGCGGGATACTTTGCTCCTAATATATTTCTTTTTTAGTTTGAACCTATACTATAGCTCCAATAACAAAGATAAAAATTACATGTTCGCGTTGTTTTTTATGTATAGATGTTGAGAGGTAAGAACAATACAAAAAAATCCGAATGTCGTACTACTGACTTACTTATTCCCAAAAGTTTGGAGCAAAGTTGAAATACATTGCCGGTTACATTGCACAATGATTAAAATTACCTTACTTTAATGCATATAATAACTATTGGTGCAATGTTTAGTGCTTGTGTTTTAACTTATTTGAACCTTGCATAATAAAATTTTTACATTAGGTAATAAAAATTTTAAAATTACCTTACTATAATGACTATTGGTGAAATGTTTTGTCTTGTGTTTTACCTTATTTGAACCTATACATAATATAATTGAATAGGTAATATAATTTTTTTTTTTTTTTTTGTTGATTAAAAGTCTTTTTTCAATACATTTTAAATTAAATTTCAATCCCCTAGATTTTGGATAACTTTTCCGTTATGTGTTTTTGTGTTTTTGAAAACAATTTTTTTCATAACATACATCTTGGAGGCAAACCAATAGATTGATGTTCGATTGTTCGAAGTTCGAAATGTTTGAAAAATTTGGTAATGTTAACAAGAATAATATAAAAAAAACTACAATCTTTTATCTCTAAATCGTAATGTGCTACGAATTACGATTGATATCAATAAGAAGTATCCCGCTCATATGGTATAGTGGTTAAGGGAGGGGGTGGTGGTAAATGTACCGACTTAAGGTGGATGTAAATACTAGACTGGGGCAAATGCACAAGTTAATCCCCCCCCCCAAATTACGCCACTGGACTTTCATTGCATACTTAATATTTTATAGGTGCATTGTGCATGTGTTCGTCAATTGCACCGATTTTTCTAGACTAACTACCTGATATTTCGGAATTCGTGTCCAATGTTCAAATATTTCATTGTTTGAAGTACCTAATGGTAACTATTACTGACTTCACAAATGATCACATATTTTTCAACTCATATATCGTCCGGCACGGCGGCGCAATTGACGTATACACTTTTTTGTACCTACCTTAATATCTTCAGGCGCAATTTATGTATAAATGTATAACCTTTTTGAATCACATAACTTTTTTTATTTCCGAATAGGCCACGTGATTATATAATTATAATTTTTACTTTTTAAAACATAAAATGTATTTAATTAATATGTATACTATGATAGTATGTTAAATTATTATATTATAATGATTATCTAAACTGAAAGCAATATAATATAATATTGTTGCCAAATTAGAAGATACCATAAAAATACACTTACGACAGTAATGTAGGTAAATAGCCTATACAGAGTTCCGTGTAATCGTTATAAATATATAATAAAATACTTGAAAGACTTGAAACTATTCAAACTAATATGTTAAATACCTATTGCCTATTGTATATTTGAAAAATAAATAAATAATAACACGCCTCTCTTATTCTAACAACGCAGATTCATTAACCAAAATTTTCAAGGTAGGAACTATTTATGAAAAACCTTGTTTAAAATTTACAATCATTAGCTATCTATATAAACTAATCATTTTATAATTTTTCGACCTTCAAAATTATATGCAATTTTTCGTGATTTTATAGAATTTTGTTAACATTTGAACTTTCAAACAAAAATTGTACTTGTGTATCTTTAATATTTTTGAACTGCTGTTATAACAACTTACGAGGAACTCGTATTAAATGGTCAAGCTTTTAAACCCAGAGACATTTTTTTTGTTGATATATTTTATAGAAAAGAATAATAAAATTTCAATAGACTATAAATAACTCAAAAAGATTCAAAATATTTTAATAATATAATATATAATATACAGATTGTCAGATTTGTCACATAAAAATATACTATCAAATAGGAAAATCGGGTTCATAGTAGTGAAAAACCATGCCACACATACACGTGTTTGCCACCAACCATAACAACCATAACAATCGTCAAAACAACCTACCGTAGAAACTTTACCCCTACCACAGTTCAAAACCCCTACTTAGTTATAAGTTAATAACAGGTAGCTAGTAATATTATGGTAATTACCATAAAATATATGATATTTGCCATTGAACAAGTTCAACCTATTATAGGTAGGTACCTAATGTATTAAATAAACAATAAAATAATAATATACATATTACATAGCTACATATACAAATAATAATAATAGTTTTTTTTATTAAATGTAAGTACATCATTTAAGAAAATATTTGTAAAAATGTAAATTATTTTGTAAATTGTATAGGTACATCAACAGGATAATACTTCATCACTACGTTAGGTAGGTATTAGAAAAATAAATATATAAATAAAGTTTTACTTAAATACTAATAGTTATGTTTTTAATTATTTGATTTTTCTTTATTCATTTTGTGTAGAAAGATTCATTCGATTTTGCAAATGACTTCAGTATAAAAATCCATCAATCATAATATCGACTGCAATAGGTACATCATTATATTTTATAAATATTAAATTATCAAACATCAATTAATGTGAATTCGGTTTTATTAAAATAATGAAAAATAAATAAAAACTATTTAGTCTTATTGTATAATACAGCCATATATATATATATATATAGGTAATATCTAGATATAAGCCCATATACTAAATTGCCCATCCCCCCCCCCCAAATACTAAATAACTAAACAAATTACGCTCTGCATGATGCTAGGGTAGATAAATATTGTCAAGTCGGTTATCGCCACTTATGTCCCCTAGCAAACCTACACACGTAAACTCATCACTAGTGTATTTGGATATGAATAAAATAGAATTAATACAATACAATACGCATGCTATTATATCTACAAATATCTATTCATTCTAATTAATATATATTAACGAGTGACGACGGAAAATTTGTTGTTAATCATTAATATACATATAATAATAGATATACCTACATTTGAAAGTTTTAGAGGGTTACT